TTATATAATTGCTTGGTTTTTCTGAATTAGAACTATGCAATGCTATCTCCCAAGACCTCATAAAACATAAGATTCCAATTGAAATGTCAACAAGATGAGAAAATAATATAACTCCCACTCTCTCTAGCTATCATATTCATATATAATACATACAATTTTATACTTTCATTTCTTATGTTAATGACTTGCACGATACGATGTATGTTATAGCACTATTCATTAATTTATAGTTGTACTTATTTTTCAAATATAACCCTAATCATATTATGAATAACAAGTAAGATTATGATTTTTTATATTAAAATTATTTTCTTTTATTACATGGATGCACTTTTATTTATTTTTATAGTATCTTGATTTCTAATATGCCAATCATATGACTCAATATACCTCATGCATTGCACGGGTCAAAAACTAGTTTAAGATTAAACTACCCCACTCAACTAAAACATGAATGAAAGTTGACTTGTTTTTTAACCGAAGTTTAAAGGTCTCACCCAAATACCCCAATCCAACTTAACAGCAACATTATTGTATGGGTTAAGGATCAATTTTGTCCATATATTTTTTTAGAAGTGCTAGGCACCTTATATTCTTATGTGGGGCAATTTTTCTCTTGAAATATTTTTTTCAAGGTCCAAAAATGCCCTTATGCTAGGAGGCTGTTAACTTTACCATTTTTTGCTGATGTGACATATGCATGAGGCTCACGTACAGTGATAGATAAAACTCTAATCATGTCCTTTGGTATTAATTTATTCTTAAACTCTTTTTCTAGGAGCGCTGGGCCTCTTAAAGCCTTATTAAAATAAAATTCAATAAATATTGCCATTAAGCATTTTCATATATAATAATTTAAATATTATTATTTATAAATACTCATTCAAAATTTATAAATTACTTTCTAAATATTAACAACTAAAACTAGTATTTTATAAATTTATTGATGACTTCTCATTTTTTTATATATCAATCTCTGATCTTCTCTTTTTGAGACAATGCCCAAATTGTTATGCCTTTTGTGCATGTCAGAACTTACTTATATTTTTAATATTGGTTAAGTTTCTTAAATTTTTAGGTTATTTTCTATAATTTTTTTGGTCAACTAATGATCTTTCAATAAAATATTGCACTACCAAATTTAATACTCTCTGTTCATTGTAATGTTAGGAGTAAAATAAAAAACATGATAAAGTAGAACAAACAATTATGCCAACAAAAATGTTTATTTAAAAGATATCACTTATTTTATTAATGCGTTACAAAATGTTATTTAACAAGAGAAAAATGGAGAGGTGAGAAGAAAAAATTTCTTCATTAATTTGGAGGTTCATTCCCTTCAATTTAATACAAAATTGCAAAATATAAAAAACTATTAAATTGAGTGGTGTAATGTTTTAAATAATAATATTTAAATTATTAAATATGAAAATACTTAATATTTTAATAATATTTATTAAATTTTATTTTAACAAGAATTTAGGATGTGTATCGCTCATAGAAAAAGATTTTAAGATGTTCAGCATTCTTAGAAAAAGAGTTCATGAGCAAATTAAAACTAAAAGACATAGTTAAAGACTTATATGTCACTATATATGGGCACAAATGCCACATCAATAAAAATATAGAAAAATTAATGGTTGACTAATAAAAGGACATTTTGGACCTAAAAAAATACTTCAGGAGGAAAATTATCCCACTTAAGAGCATAGGGTGTCAAGCGCTCTTAAAAAATAAGTATAAGGGCAAAATTTGATCTTAAGTCTTGTTGTACTTGCTTAAAGGAATTGTCACCTCCTCCTTAAATAATCAAACTATTATGAAAATTGGGATGAATTTGTGATGGAATTGTGATCGATTTGTAATAGATTTGAGTGTTTGCGATAAACATAGTACAAATTAGTCCACCACACATTTCTTAGTTGCAAAATATGTGTGTGTGTGATGAAATTTCATGACACTTTTACAGCCACTAAAAGTTTTTAGTGGTGATTTTTTACAGTCAAAAGGTTGCCACTAAAAGGCATACTTTTAGTGACGATTATGTTTGTTGTAGCCAAAAACTATTAATAACAAGATTTTTGTGGAACCATTTTGGCAACAAAAAGTTGCATCCAAAAACCTTTAGCGGTAATTTTTGAATTTTTGGCAACTATTTTTTGCTATTGCCAAAAGTCATTTTCTTTAAAGAAAATAAAAAAGTCATCCCGTGTCACATCACCCTACCACGTTTGCACCTCCTCATGCCACATTACACACCACATTGTCAAATCTTCTACACACATCATATATTCCTTATGAAATAAGCCGAAACTAATATTTGAGCCCTTAACTTCAACCTTTTAGGCTTTGTTTGGTTCAAAGGAAGGGGAGGGGGAGGGGAGGGGAGGGAAGGAGAGAGTAGGGGGAGGGAAGCATCTCCCTAAATTGGGGGAGAGGTTTCGGAGGGGAGGGAAGGGGGGGAGTTTTTTTAAAATTTTCCCTCCCCTCTCCTGCCCTCCAACCAAATAGGCCCTTAAACTTTAAATCCTATTTTTTTGCCAATTAAATTGAAATGCACTTACATTTCTCGTATGTGAAATTAAATATATATTTATTATTTAATTAATTACACATATATTAAATAATATATTATTAAAAAATATACATATATATTATATTATATTTTCATTTATTAATATGCTAAAATAATTTATATGAGTATATATATACACACATATTATATTTTTAATAAAATATTATTTTTGTTGAGAAAATTAACATAAAATGAAATAATTTCTACATGTTAAATAATTTTCTTATAAACATTTTAACCAATTATCTTAAAGAATTATTTTAATACAAAAATTATTTTAACCATATAGATTTTGTTAATAATCATTTTGAAAAATTTTGATTTTTTAATGAATACTAATAATTTTACAGCAAAAAATAATTATAAAGATCTTATATGTGATTGATCCAATTAACTTCTAATTATTCTCTACCTTATAGCAACTAGGCATATTTGAATAATTTTTCATATTTGTTTATTAATAATCTGTTATAAAATTCTTACTCATAACTTCTTTTTTCATAACAATAGAAATATAAACTAGATAAAATCACAATACATCCTTGTCAAAAAAATCATTAGAACTTAGCAGACGGAGTGGACACTATTCGTATACTAGGCCAAGCATTAAGTATGCAGTGTGTCAAGTAATCTTGAATGCTATTTGCATCTCATGACATCTATACAACTTTAATGACCCAATGTCATTTCTGTATTTTTATATAAGTATTTATGTATAACTTTGATTGATTATAATTGAAAGTAATCACCAATCAATATTTTAATTATATTATACTATATTAAAATACTAACTTAATAAGATCATTCTTAAAAAAGATGAGATATATATGTCTAAAAAAAGATTATGTATATTACAAAATAAAAAAATTTTAATAATTAAACTTAACACATCTTCATTATTATTTATTTTATTTCTTGATCCTATATATATCATTTATTTATCATTTTATATATAAAATAAGAAATTTCATTTCATAAATATCTTTTTGAATGATTTTATTTAATTTTAAATTTTAAAATAATTTATGAGAAATTTTTTCTAATAATAATTTTATAAATTATTTCATATAATTTAAATTATATTTATTTTTTTAAAAAATACTTTTAGTAATGATAAATAGTTCTGCAAAGAGTAATTATATAATATTTTTAATTTTTAAATTATTTTTTATAAAAATACTTTTGGCTCTAAAAGTTTGTTTTTTCATGGCAACTGTTAAAAGTCGTTACTAGAGGTCTATTTTTAGTAGTAACAATTAAAAGTCATATCTAAAAGTGAACCTTTGGTGGTGACTTTTTTTTTCACCATCAAAAGTCTTTTTTTTAAAAAAAAAATAGTGACTCTTCCCATTATTTACATGAAACTATGTTACTTTAATTTCCTATTAGACCCACAATTAAATTTCAACTTATATGTTCAAAGTATATAAAATCTAAGGAAAAACGTTCCTATAATATTAAGGAAGTGGTACCATCAACATGAATTGGGCATAGCAATTCTCAAGTTCTCCCTTTGAACCATGTTATAAGTCACTTTTAACTACATCAATGAAACCAAGAAATGAATCTGTCTTAAAATTAAAAAATATCCTAACTTTGCTCTTATTAAAGAAAGATAGAAATACATTTGAGGAGCCATATATAAATGCTAGATTAAAATTAAATTTTTGTTTTTGTAATTTGCTAGGGACAAAATTAGAAAATATTAGTTAACAACCCTCTAACTTATATTAAGAACCAAAGAATTCTTCAAAAAGATGTCCTGTAAAAGAAACTGTAGGGAGTACATCCAAGTATATCTTAAGATAAATAAATCCTATGGTATTGGTTCAAGGCTTTTTCTCATATTACTCAATTTTAAAAAAAGAATTGAATTTACTGTTAAAAATGAGACCTCCTAAAATTTAATTTCAACAATATTAACTAGGTTAAAGGATGTTTTGTCCTTCAGGATCCTAGATCAAGAGAAACAATGATAGATCTAGGATTGTCGGCACAAGAAAACTTTTATATATCTTTCAAATCTATTATTTCTTTTTCATTCTTTCTTTTTATTTGTTTATTAATTCAACTTTGTAAGCACAGTGAGCCAGCGAAAGGCATTCAATAAATTTAATCATGAGTCTAGAATCTTCATTTTTCAACTTTTTTTAACCAATCCTTGACTAGTATTCGACTATTCAAAATAAGGATGATGCAGGTTTAGTTTAGTCTAATTAAGTATGTTTCCTATTTTTTAAATGATTAATAAATGATATTGATATTTAGGTGTAGTGAAATTACACGCTAATATTCATTGGGCTAGTAAGTTAAAAAAACTGAATTGTAGATATTGGCTAAAAAATAAAATTGAAATGAGTTTAAAGTTTAAAATATCAAAATAAGGGGAGCAAATAATAAAAAGGAGAGGGTGCAAACTGCAAAATATAAAAACTCATATCTTATACATATCATTTTTCCCAAGTCTCAACTACACGTAGCTTCGCCCATGGGAGAAACACTTGGTATCCTAAACTCTCATATGTGAAGCATGACACTCTTAAAATTATATCAAAGCATTTTAGTTGACAATATACAAACATTTTGTTGTTGATCCTTATAATACAATGGCATTGTGTAATTTGTAGCCAATCTTATTTAGTGGAATAAAACTTATTATTGTTATTTGCAAGATGGCTTAAAATTCACAAACCAAAGACTGTGAATCCTCCATCAACACAAATAGTTTGTCCTGTTATGTAGGAGGCTGCTGGTAAGCACAAGAATGCTACCATGGAAGACACCTCATTTGGCTCCCCAATTCGTTGCATAGGGATTCCTCTCGTGAAATCTTCAAGAAGCGTTTTATCTTCTAGAACCTACAATACAAATAATCACAAAACAATTATTTAGAAACACAAGTAGGGATGTGAACACAAGACATGATAGTATGTCTGACTCTTTTATGGACCTTCACTGCAACAAAAAAGTCTACAAAGGAGCATTTGTTTTTTTTTTTTTCCCTTTCGGAGTGTTTCAAGAATACTCTAAATATAAGTTCTATCATATGTATTGGAGCACTTTTAAAAAGTTCTTGTAGGTTGACCTACAGGAGCATTTATAAGGCAAAATGCTCCAATACGTGGACTCATATGAGAGCATTTCCTCCCATAGGTCAAAATTACAGTAATGTAACCAATTGGAGCTTTTAAAATAAATAAAGAAATACGCTCTAGTAGGTTTTGCCTCATGCGTTTTTAATTTAAAACACTTTGATATGGCCGTGCTCTAGTTCTTGCACAACAACGAAATGAAAGCAAATTAAAGAATTAAGGAAAGAATATAATAGAGAATAATTACTTGATTGGCACGAGGTGTCTTAATGGGACCTGGTGCAACACAATTGATCTTTATATTGTCTTTTGCCCACTCACATGCCAAGTTCCTAGTCAATTGGTTCATTGCTCCTGCATTTCAATTATGTTAATTAAAGAAATTCCCAACTCATTTCTTATCAAAAAATTTAAACAAATAATAATGGATTAATTATTACCTTTTGTTGCACCATATATTGAACAATCTCTTAAAGCTGACACACCAGAAATGGAGGATATGAAAACAATGCTTGCATCTTTTGAAGTTTTTAAAAGAGGATATGCGAGTTGGCTCATGTGGTATGCAGACTCTAGATTTGTACTGATCAAAAATGAGAAATCTTCCAGTGTATATTCGTGAGTTTGTTTCCTTATATTTGTGCCCACATTGTTTACCTATTAAATATAAAACGTTAGTAAAAATAAGGAAAAATATAATTATTGATCCCTATAATTTTAACGTATTTTGGTATAAGTCCTTGTAGTTTTTTTCTTATTACTTCATATCCTCTAGTTTATTTTGTCACAATGTTAGTTCCTCTATTCTGAATATGTCCAAAAAAAGATCATGAGGTGGCACCAATGATGTTAAATATGCTGATATGTGACTAACAATATTAATCTTTGTGTTGAGGTGGAATTATTATTTAACAAACTGAAATAGAATAGGGTTGACAACGCTATTAATCTATTGAATTATAATTTCAACTCAACCCATGTAAATAGCATTAGTCACAAGTCAACATATTTAACACCATTAGTGCCATCTCATTGTCTTTCTAAGCATATTCAAAAATAAGGGACTAATGTTGCAGACTAGTTACGGAGACCTAGAGTAACAAAAAAATTGTAGGCATTTATATTAAAACACATTAAAATTATAGCAACTAATAGCTATGTTTTCCCTAATAATAATCAAACCAAAAACATCTTTCTAGCATGAAGTCCTTTCTTTACTCATTTTTCTTGAGAAAATTCCAGATGAACACTTTTCTCACATCTCTTTGAACTTTTTTTTTAAGATTTACATCTAATAATTATTTTAAACTCATTACTCACAAGGATATTGAGTTTTCCATGAAACATAGAGGACACTTTAGTAATCATGTCTTGTCTTTGTGTAGGGGACGCCATGTCACAAACTGAACCAGTGACTTGAAACCCCTTCGCAACCCATTGTTGTAAGCATTCATTAAGCTCAGATTCAGTCCTAGAACAAGTATGTACGGCAGCTCCTAGTTGTGCCAACTCCTCCACAATAGCATAACTAATAAAATTCATTATTAGAAATTGAATTTAGTCATTAAAATATTTAAACAAACAAATTAATCATACCTTATTTGAACATTCTCTTCGATTGACCATCCAGCTATATATGATGCGAGAGTTTCTAAAGTTCCTAAGATTTTACACAATGTACAAGAATTCTACATTTATCTTTCTCTCTCTATATATATATGGAACAAAATTTATTTATATAAAATGCAAAATACTAACACTCTCACTTATTTGCATTAGGAAACTTCAGAAACCCTCACTTTACCAGATATAAATTCAATTGTTTGCGGGAAACTGAGATATATATATATATATATATATATGACTAAAGAATCAAGAAGACGAGATGAAATATAACACACAGAGAAAAGAGAGATAAAGCAAACCCGATTCCTCTGGTTCCACCAGTAACAAGAGCAGTCTTGCCCTGAAGAGACCACCTGCTGATATTTGCCTCTGCCATTTCTCTTTTTCTTTCTCTCCACAACTTCTAAGCTCTCGAAAACAATATGAATGATCCTTAATTTACTCTGCTCGACTCGAAAGGTTTATATATATATATATATATAGAGAGAGAGAGAGAGAGAGATACAATGCATGTGAAAAAAGAAAGCTCTTTCTATGATGAAAAATTGTGAAGTTCAGAGTGGTGAGCTGTAATAAGTTTAAGGAACAATATGAAAGAATTTAATATTTGATAAGGGCTTTCGAATACTTATTATAATAATAATGTCACTCATTATTTGTTAAGTTTTACTTATTAAAAATCCATGCCAAATATTAATTCTTTCAGGCTCCATCGATATTCTCCCAAAGTTTTTAATTCAAAATAATGAGCTCTAGCATTTTTTTTTAATATCAAAAGTAGGTAGCAAGTAAGATTGAACTAGTGATCTAGCGCTAACAAAAAGCAAGGGGTATGTCATTAGGTTACAAGGCAATTGATACTCTAGCACGTTTAAAGCCGAGCATGGACATTTTATAAAATGATGGGTCCTACATATACTTTTCCCCAAAGAATTTATTTTATAAGCAAGCCAATCTGAGACAATAGTTCTAGGCCAAAACAGTTAAAAACCTTGATTATACATGCAAGTCCATCACCAATAGTACACAACATATCACAGCGCGGCTAATTAATTTGGAGAGCCATTTAATCCCACACTTTCAAATTTTTTGTCTTTGACTTATTACGTTGTCATTATATGTCACATGTAGCTGTCGTCTATCTGACAGTTTGTTTTAGTAATTTTGTGGTTATAAGAAATTGTCAGCTGATATTTTTGAGATCCCAATTATTGCCTGGCATTTGTTTCTTGTTTTTCTTCGCATCAATCAAATTTTGAAAGTCATATCTTGAGTCCCCTAACTAATCTAAATTGAAGTTATGCTTGGTCAAACTATGTGATTGTAAAACAATTATGCAAGACTTAATTTTGAGACTTGTTGGTTAAAGGGGACAGGCGCTACAGCTCTTGAACCAATTTTGATTGGTGAATTTCTATGGAAAATGAAAATGTTTTCTCAAGATTAACATTATTCTTATCATAACCAATCTAAAATTCATGGTAATAAATGGTCAAATTAAGTACTAATGCTAGTCTTTTTTATGGATATTTAAATTTATTTTGATTTTATTCTTCTATTTAATTTAATATTTGTTTTTAATAGATGAGTAGTATAAAATAAAAATGAATCCTTCAAATTAAACTTATTTTCAAAGATAAAATGGTTTAAAGAGATTTTTTATTTTTTAAAACTAGTGTAACACTCCACAAGAAGTTAACAATTATAGTATGGGCCAAGAGACTTGGGGCCTGTTTAAAATTGTTTTTATTTTATTATTATGAGAATTAGTGTTTTATAAAACATGTTCTAATAAAAAATAATGAAAATAAGTATTTTTCTCATTCTTCCTTATTCTCTATAACAATAATCCCAAAACACTTAAAAGATATTTTCATTTTTCTATTCTCTAAAATAATATCTTTTTTGGTTTCCCAGAACACTTTTTAAAAATTCAGTGTCAATTTTTTTTATTTTTTGCTCTAAAGAATAGAAAACTATTCTTAAAACAGATTGTCAAATAGGCCCTTATTTTGCCAACATTGATTTAATATTAACTACAAAAAAGGGCAAACTTGCATTACTTTTGAAAGATTTGCTGCATATTATTTCATAATTTTTTGGATGCTTATAGCTCTTTCAGAAATGCTTCTGAGTAAAAACTAAAATTGCACTTTACCCAAAATAAATATAACATAAAATTTAAAAAATTAAGAATATTAAATACTAACCTTCCAAATTATTGTTTAAGCAATAATGAAGTAGCGAATATTGAATGCAAAACAAACTCTATGTGACTTGAACTTTATAAAAGAGATTTGATCATATTATTTTGAGATAGCAAGAGGTATGAATTTCCGAAATTGGATGAAAAACTTGCAAAGAGTATGCACGGTTCATGTGCTAAATTTGAGTTTCAAAATGTAGTGATTTTGTTAACCCCTATATATATATATATATATATATATATATATATCTATAAGAAATGCCAGTTGTAAATATATTGAACATTAATTGTGAATGAATATGAACAAGTTTTAATTGTAAGTTAAGGATTTAGAAACCCTAGCCTTTCATGTTTCTAAATATATCCATTCCCACAGCTGATTTTTTCATAGATTCACAAGCAACTGTCCTATAAATGTACATGTGAGTGTGACTATATGTATATCCACAATTGACTTTTTAAATATTTGCAAGTAATTTTTCTAAAATTAACAACTAACTTTTCTTAAATTTATGAGTCACCCTCCATTGATTATTTCAATATAAGTATTTTAATTATAAATAAAGGTTATGATTCTTCAATCATATTTTAAAATTCAAGATCTTTAATTTAATTAATTAGCCTTAATATCTTTACAAAACCCATAATTGTCATTTTCCATTTATTATATATGGAAGTCCATCACTAATAGTATAAACTTTTGACAGAGCAACTAATTTGAAGAGCCATTCAATGCCCTGCTTTTAAATTTTTGTCTCTGTCTTATTACATTGTCATTATATGTCACGTGTAGCCTTGTCAGCTGATATTTTTGGGATTCCAATTGCCCAACATTAGTTTATTTTTTTATTTTTGAGTATCAATCAAATTTTGAAATTCATACTAAGCAATATTCTTTTAAAAATTAGACTGGATGGTCAGATTGGTTAAACTGTGAACCAAAACTATTAACAGCTTGATTTGAAAAAAGAAAAAAAAAAGATTCACATGGTTGAGCCTGGTTTATAAGAACTAGATTGTTATGGAAAAAAAATTAAAGAGATTGAATTTGTCTCTTATCAAAGTCCAAAGATTGAATTAATAATTATGAAAACGATCGCATGAATCAAAACTTATATTTTGTTTTCCTTTTTTATATCATAAATTCAATTTCTTTGTTGTCGTATGAGTCTTCAAAAGCCAAGTACTCGTGATGCTTGAGGATTGTTTTATGATTTTTCTTATTTATATTATATCTTTTTGAAGATGAAAAGCTTTTCAAGTGTATCATGGGAGCCATATATTATTAGACTCACCCCTAATTAAACTTTCTTACAGCTCAGCACTTGACTTTCCAGAATCATAGAAGGCAACCTCATTTTCTCACATGGTCCACATACTAGATGTCAGTAATCCTTATATATAGCCTTTTGAGTTTGGAGAAGATATATATTGGCTGAATATTATAATATAAAATATCTTTTAAAAATTTTGCCTGATTTAAAATATAGGACACACAATAACAAAAAAATAATTTTTTCATCGAGTTTTCTCTTGAAAAAATATTTGGAGAGAAGTTCTCTTAGAATTTCTCTTAGAAAGTTTCTTCTAATCAAGGAATTTCTCATAGAAACGTAAATAGAGAGAAATTCTAAAAGAATGATGAGAGAAAATTAGAGAGAAAAAAATCAGTTAATGATGGGAAAATGTTGCCTCAATAAAATCCGTGAGAAATATTTGACAAAAACAAAATAAGTGACAAAAAATTACAAATAAGAACTCATTAAATTTCTCTCAATTTTTTTCATGAAAAAGTTTCTTATGAAAAAATTTGAGAGAAATTTAAAGAGTTTTCTCAAATAATATTGAGATAAATGTTCTCTTAAAAAAAGTTGAGAGAACTTTCTTTCAAATTAAGTTGAGAGAAATGTTCCCTCAGACTTTTTTGAGAGAAAACTTGGACAAGTCAAAAAGAATTTCTCCATAATTAAACTGAGAGAAGTATTTTTAGTGGTAAAAGCTTGGACAAAGTGTCTCTCAGAAAAATTACAAACAATGTTTTTCACAGTAAAATTTTTCTCAAATCTTTCTTAGAGAAACTTTCTTTTAAAATTTACCATGAAAAAATTTCAAATTTCTCTCAAATTTTTACAAGAGAAACTATAAAAATCTATATTATATATGTTATTACATATTTAGTACTCATATTATGTATATTATTGAATGATACGGTTTAGAATGCAATAAAAGTAATTGTAAAGTAAGAGTGCCTAGACACAAAATAGGGGTTGGGTCTAGTGTCATAATATAACGATTTAACGTTTAAATCCTTGTTCAGAGAGTTTTTCAAATTTATTTCTTGACCATACTTCAAATAAGATTACCTCTAATAAAAATATACATTTATGCAATTTAAGGAAATAAAAACAATAGGGAGTAGATGTGGGATGCATGAAATAATGTTAATAAATTAATAATTATATATATACATAGAGAGAGAGAGAGACAGAGAGAGAGAGCGGCAATGTTTAGAGTAATATATGATTAAATAATATATGATCATGATTTATATAATAGTATCAATATTAATTTTTTATACACTAACATATATATTATAAGAAAGTTTGCTAAAAAAATTATCTATATTAGTAAATTGCATTATATTTTATTTTTATAATTGAGAAAAATTATTTATGTAATTATATATATAAGTTATTTAGTTTTAAAATATACAAAATTAAGTGACCCCCAAAAAACAATATTAAGTTGAAGTTTCATGGATTTCTAGAATAATTTGCAAGTATATTGTTTTGGTTTACATTTTTATAGGTTTGTTAAATAATTTTTATCTCTTTTCTATGGAGAGAATAAAAAAAATTGTTGTGAAAATTTCTCTTTATTGACAATAAATTATTGCTGATAAAGTTTTTTCTCAAAAAATTTAAAATTTAAACATAATTATAAATTAAATTAAATAATTTTAGAAAAATATTTTTAAAAGTTTAAAAAAATAAAATTTAAAAATATATTATATTAATTTAAAAATAATTAAAAATTAATATAATTTAGTTTAAATCATACTTTATTAAATAATTGTATAAAATTATTGATTAAATTATTAAAAATAATTTAATAATTATTTTTAAATTTCAAATAAATTAAAATAATTCAAAAAAATATGTTATATTATAAATTATTTTTTAAATAAAATAATATAAACTATATAAGAGTGTATATTTTAGTAATATATATTTAATTTTATTAATTTAAGACATCAAATTCACAACATT